GAGATAGAGAGAGCTCCCATTTGCTTCTTCACTTGCCAAATGCTCTCAACAGCCGAAGTCATGAGGCCAGAACTCAGTGATAGTATCCCATGTGGGTGGCAGGAATCTAACTACTAGAGCCATAACCTCCTGCCTCCCACGGTGTGCATTAGAAGGGAGTTGGAGTTAGGAACTAGAGACAGGTGGCGAACCCTAGCACTTGGAAATGGCACATGGACAGCCCAACCTTGTGCCTTAACCCTTAAGCCCAAAGCCTGCCCCCTACCACTGCCTTTCAATAGCTTTCCTGAGCAAAGCTGTGGTTACCCTTCATTTTCTTTTGGCTTCAATTTTTAGATTAGTCAGGAAGCTTTGAAATGATGAGGGCAGTTTATAATGTACCACTAAATGAAAGGTATGTGAGCTTTAAGATAAACGGCTGAGTGGGGTCTGCTGGCCACTTGGAAAACATATGGCTCCACATGCCGGAGGATTCCACAGCTGACTTTGGTAAAAGCTTGCCTATTAAATATTCCAGCTCTGCACTTCCATGAAGTGCAAAGGACAGAAGTTGTCTCTCTGTATTAACAAGCCAGGGTGGTTAGCAGAGAAGGCATGGTTTACAAATCTGTATTTATGATTGAGGTCTGGCTGCAAAACAGCTAGAATAAACCATACAACCTGGGAAGTCTAATTCTAGCAGGAAGTTGCTTTGAAATAACATCATAGTTCACTCACTCCCCAGCTGATGCCTTTGACGGCTGATCTGGACACCAATAAAATGTCCTGTCACTTGCTATATTTTATTTTCTGACACCGTTTTGCACTGTTTGATGGTTAACACTCATGCTGCCTGTCCTTAGCGGCACCCCCAACACTCCAGCTGAGAGATGCCAAGCATGTTGCTTTTTGGCTAAATTTCTTGCCCAAGGACAAGTTCTTCTGGGTTGAAAAGATCCCTTTGAAAGATCCCTAAAGAAAACTCTGCAGCCATTTCTGGCTTAAATTTGTAGTTCTAGAATGTATGAGAAAGCGGCTGGTTAACATTATAGACATTTTGAAGTACTTGTCTCTCAGAAATGCAAAGAATAATAGCAAGAAAAGCCCTCTGATGGCTCTGAATTTGTTTTATTTTATGTACTTATTAATTGGTACACTTTCTCCTCCATTTTAGGCAAGGATTCTGTGCATTGAAACAATAAAATAAGTAAAGACATGTGTCTGCTTTAAAATCTTGATATTGGTTAAGTCTCTGTAGCCCCTTTTTCCTGCTTTCTGAGTAAAGACTTTCAGCCGACTACACTTTGATGTCCCGAGCAGTGCCATTTGGCTATAAATGTACGGGCTGCCTTTGATCTAGTACTTAGCCGGTCTTATTTAAAATAGATAGTTCCTTTTATCTGGGTCGTGTTTACCAGTTCTCTCTGTCTATGAAAGATGGTTTAAGTTGTTATTGTTTAGATAGAAATTTGTTTCTTAAGAGTACACCAATTAGATCTGAACTCAAATCCCCCAGATTCTGAAACCTCCAGAGCGCTATTGTAGATTATAGAAAGCCGTGGCCCATTACAATGAGCTGCTCCCACAGTTCTCCAGTAATACTTGTGAAAGCTTTGTCTGCTTTTCAATGGGGAACTAACTTCGTGAAGAAAAACAAACACATCCCATATTCAGGCAAAAAAAAAAAAAAATCATCCCAACATGTGAAGTGCTCTTTTTTCTTTTTTAATATTTTAAGGATTTATTTATTTGAAAGGCAAAGTTAAAGCAAGAAAGGGAAAGAGAGATTGCCCCCCCAGAAATAGGCACAGTGGCCAGCGCTGGCCAAATTCAGGAGCCAGGAGCTATTTCGGGGACTCGCACGTGAGTGTAATGGTTTAGGTACATGAGCCCTCCTCCATTGCTTTCCAAGGCACAGCACCTAAGAGTTGGATCACAGAAGCAGAGCAAGTGAGACTCAAAACCGATGTGCATATGGGCTGCCGCTACTGCAGGCAGCAGCTTTACCCACTGTGCTATAGAGCCAGCCCTAATGTTTTATATTTTTTAAGGACTAAAACTTTAAATAAGTGTTCTGACTAAATTCTATCCAGTGCCTTCGTGGCAGGTTTTCCAGCTTCCCAGGCTGTGTTCAGTTATTCTATCAACAAACTATGATAGAGGGTTAGTGTACAGAAGCTCAGCCAGCAGTTCCACTGCAGTGTTGCCAGTGCTCCGAGTCTTCTCAGCCTGGCATTGCCAGTGGTCAGGGGAAGCATCTTAGAAGAACGACAACTGAAGTTTGAAGTCAAGTCTATAACACAAAGCCGTACTACCTGCCCAGACCTCGTAGGCCTCGGAAGACTTTCTGTCCCAAACTTGGAAAGGCCTTCATGCCTAAAGCTACCCAAACCCTTTTTGTTTGTCATTCAACACCAAAAAGAAAACTTCCAAATTACTTTTCATGTGCATTATAGAATTTGAACTCTAGCCCTCCCTTACAAGGAACCTGGACAAATCAGTCTTTGCTGTGAGCTACAACGGCTGCTCGTGCCGTTTACTCTTCTGCTTTGGTATGCTTGCCATTCTCCTCCGTGGCAGGTCATTACATTCCAGAAGTCTTGCATTTAGTTTACTCCACATGCTTAGCACAGTTGAGCTTCTGTAGGTTCTGCTCCTGGCCCAGGACTTAAATGCAGGTTATTCAAAAACTGCACAAGAGACCCCTCAAGGCCTGGAGATTGGGAGAAGGGTTAGGGTAGAAAGGATCAGTGGTCAATTATAGGATCACTACAAGACAGTTTTTTGGGGGAGACGGGTAACAGTCACCTGGCGGGACTTGGAACCTGACCTCAGAGAACTCAAACAGGATTTACAGAGATGGGGAGGAGAGCACGGCGTTTGGAGGGCACGCTGTGTAAGCCTGGGAGAAGACGGGGTCCACGTGGGGCCCAGGCTGAGGGCAGGTGGGGGCTTTCTCCTGGCAGTGGCTTAGAGTCCCTGGGGCTGTGAAACTACTGGCACAGACCCCCCTTCTTTCACATTGGTTCATGAGCCAAACTGACTCCAACAATCCTGCCTTTCAGGCAGCAGGAGCCTTGGAGATTGGAGAGTCTGCTTGCCCAGCCCAACCCCCTTCATGCAGTGAGGAGATTAGCTCCCAGGGCTCAGGCTCCCCAGGTGTCCTGGCCAGCAAGGGGCAGAATCAGGTGTGTCTGGTGAGCCGACTGGCTATACTGGGGTCCTAGAACTTGTTTCCCAGTAAGACCTGGAGTGAAGGGCTTAAACACAGTCCATGGACAGTTAGTCCATCTCCTAGAAGGTGTGTACTCCAGAGACATTATAGGATTTACGTCTATGGGTGGACCCCAGGATCCATTCAACTAGAGAATCAGGAGTCATGGGTATTAGCTGTTAAGAAAAGAGACAAGATGGCAGACGTTGTTGCACAGTGCATAAATCACCACTTGGGATGGCCACATTCCTATTGGAGTGCTCCTTGGAGTGCCAGTTGCTCTGCTTCTGATCTAGCTTCCTGTTAATTCATCTGCGAAGTGGCAGATGACAGTCTAAGTAGTTGAGTTCTCGCCATCCACAGAGGAGACCCATGTGGGGAGGCTGGCTCCGCCTTGGCTTGTCCTAGCCTCGGCTGTTGTGGGCATTTAAGGTATGGATCTCTATTTTTCTCTCCTCCTACCCTTCCTCTCTATCAGTCTGCCTTTCAAATAAGAGAAATGAAGGAAGAGGGGAAAAAGGGAGCGAGGAAGACAGAAGGGGAGAAAAAGGATGACAAAAAGAATCCGGATATGTGGAGCAGCCCCAGGTGAGTCAGAAGAAGCCAGGCCAGGAGGATGGATAGCAATGTTACATGTTTTTTTTTTAAGATTCGTTTATTTTTATTGGAAAGTCAGATATACAGAGAGGAGGAGAGACAGAGAGGAAGATCCTCTATCTGCTGATTCACTCCCCAAGTGGCCACAATGACCAGAGCTGAGCCAATCCCAAGCCAGGAACAACTTCTGGGTCTCCCACATGGGTGCAGGGTCCCAAAGCTTTGGGCCGTCCTTTCCCAGGCCACAGGCAGGGAGCTGGATGGGAAGCATGGTCACCAGGATTAGAACCGGTGCCCATGTGGGATCCCGGCACATGCAAGGTGAGGACTTTAGCTGCTAGGCTACCACGCCGGGCCCAAGAGCTAGGTCTTATGAGTTATGCATCAGGGGATGCAGATAGTCCCCTAATTTCAAGAAAATCGATGGAACACATCTGACCCAAACCACACGGAGTGAAAAACAGGTGGTAAGGGATTGTGCTTGAGGCAGTTGGTGAACTGTTATTAGAAGAAAGGTGGGAGGTGACAGGTGAAAATACAGAAACCATCAGACATGGACAGCACCATGGAGAAATAAAAATACATAAGCCAAGCCAGGGTTGCACGTGGAGGGAGCTGCCATGAGGGCGCTAAGTATTCTCGGTGATTCAGCTGTCTTAATGAATTGCTTCTACATCCTTCAGTGAGGAGGACACTGAGGACCAGAAAGACTGGTTTACTCAGGCTCTCACAGCTCACTAATACCAGACCTGGGACTTGAACCCATGCAGTCTCTTCCCAGAGCCCGTGTTCTTCGTTATTGTTACAATTAGTTCAAGTTTTGCTTAGACTCTTTCCTTGTCTTTCTGGGTTTGAGCACAAGCCTGTGTTTGAGAGTAAATCACCCAGCACGCAATAGCAGCAATGCCTACTCTTATGGTTGTTCCTTGGCACAGGACGCAAAGTTTCTGATAACACAGCGGGCATCCCAAGACTGTGCAATAACAGTTGAGACAAAAATGCAACAGAAGACCAAGCATGAGTGGGCTCTGGAGCTAACCGAGAGTCAGTGTGATCTTTAGGAAGGTGTACAATGGACAGGAGGCATCAGGCAAATGAGGCACACAGCAAATGTATGAAAGAGATGTTGCCTCCTGAGGCTTTTGGTGCAGGGAGGAAGTGCTGAGATCCTGGCTCCTCTGACGATTCTTCTTCTCCTTCCCTCCTCAAGTGTTGCCTAAGTAGAGCAGAGGCCAGACGAGATGCAGCCAAAGTGGCCCTGATCAACTCCCTCTTCAATGAGCTGCCCTCTCGCAGGATCACCAAAGAGTTCATCGTGGAAAGTGTTCAAGAAGCCGTGGCCTCCACCAGCGTGAGTATGAAGAAGTCAGGGGCATTTGGGCCCTGGTACTATCATAGTGCGTGAGCCAAGTAGCACATATTGTCAACTAGCCAGAGTGGGATCATTTGTCCAGTGAATGCTCTGCAACTGTAACCTGCAAAATTCCCTCTAAGCACAAGCCACGGAGCAGTATAGCCAGTGGGCTCACCGGACACACCTGATTCTGCCCCTTGCTGGCCAGGACACCTGGGGAGCCTGAGCCCTGGGAGCTAATCTCCTCACTGCATGAAGGGGGTTGGGCTGGGCAAGCAGACTCTCCAATCTCCGAGGCTCCTGCTGCCTGAAAGGCAGGATTGTTGGAGTCAATTTGGCTCATGAACCAATGTGAAAGAAGGGGGTCTGTGCAGGTCTGCCGCGGTGCCTCTCCGTGCACTCACAGTAAGAACCGGGCATTACCCAGATGGCCAGGCCTGCTGCTAATAGGACATCCCCTCCCTAAGAAACTTTGCCCCGCTGCTCTGGACAGAAGGACTGTCATTCAGAACATTGCTGATAACAAAGGAGATGCTATCTTACTGTCAGTGGTCCCTTTCCCTCGGAAATGCCTGTATCGCTTAGAGGGGAGGTGGGGAGGGGGCAGGCAGAGGAGAGCAATTAATCGGGCAGGGAGAAGCCGGGAGCTCTGCTCTGGATCTGCTCTGAGGATGAAAGGAAGCCTTTATTTTCCGGCCCTGTAAATTTCAAGTGCTTTTGAGGAAAAGAAGTTAGCAAAATGACGCCTGATTTATAGAAGTGTGGAATCTACTCAGGAGCAGGGAGGGGCCCTCCGTGTAAATGTAATTTATCATTTTTTCATGGCAATTTCTAAGGAAAGCGAATATATATGGCCTGCAGGCTCCTGGATGGCATTCCTCTGGGCTATTTAGAAAGCCAACGTAAATATTTCAGCAGCAGTGTGTTAATGTGAGTGTGTCCAAAAGCGATAAATCTGCCGCTATCTAATGCTGGCAGTTGGTGGTTCAGTCTCACACACTCACCCTTGCCCACCTTCCCAGGAAGCTAAGATCGTGGGATCTTGAAGGGTAGGCACGAATGCCAAGCCAGGGCCTCAGTTAATGTCCCAGGCTCACACCGCACAACCACACGGATAGACAAGTTCATTTCTACTTGTCACCCACCCACCTTGTTTCCTAAAGAGAAAGTAGTCTGGGAGTGAAAGAATGAAAACCAAGATCCGTGACTCCAGCCAGAACACCAGCACGTTATGAAAAGCTCCCCTTAAGAATCTTGGCAATAAAATATGACGGGTCCGTGTGACTGGTGAATTCTGTCTTATGTGAGCTCCGTGATCTCGCCTCGTGGATACTCCAGCTAAAGCAAGGTCAGAGTTCCACGATGTCAACAAGCAACAATGAAGGCAGCCTGGCAGGCAGTCACATGGGCCACATCATCACCACCACCCTACATTCTGTGCAACAATCTAAGGATTTCTGCTTTGGGATAATTATTTTATCAGTCAATATAAAATAAGCGAGTATCCTCTTTTGTGTTCTTATCTTTCAAAATTTTGCTTACATGAAAGAGTTATAGAAAGAGAGGGAAAAAGACAGAGATCTTTTATCTGATGGGTCACTCACTAAATGGCTATAAAAACCAGGGTGGGCCATGCGAAAGCCAGGAGACTGGCATTCCATCAGGGTCTCCCATGCAGGTGGCAGGGGCCCAAGCACTTGAGCCATCTTCTGCCACTTGCCCATGCACATTAGCAGGAAGTTGGATCAGAAGTGGAGTAGCCAGGACTTGAAGTGCTGCTCACATGGGATGCTGCTCATCTGAGGGTCACAGGTGGGAGCTTAACTCACCGCAGCACACACTGGCTCCTCAGCTAGTGGGCCAAGCAAAAGATTGAAATGAATTTCAAAATCCTCTTAACTCTGATTCTTGCTGAGATATTAGGATTTTATCTAAGACAGATGGAGACTGTACAATAGTCACTGGTGTGGGCATAAAGCCCGTGAAGTTATTTGGCCTACCGCTGCAAAGGCAAATTCAGGTGGGACTCAAAATTCGATAAATCTGCACCAGGCTAATTTTTAAGCTGATAATTTTGTATGGCTCACAAACGATGTTACAAATGTCCTAATGGCTCTTAGTAGAATAAAAAGGCTCTCCACCCCCAGCTTGGCTAACAACAGAAGGCTTACTGTGCAGCCATGGGATTACTTTGTGGCCTCTCAGAGCAAGGGAGGGAAAAACAGTGATGTTTCTTTCCTGCTTTCCTTCCCAAGGGCACTCTAGATGACGCAGACGACCCTGGCACAAGCATCGGAGCCTACCACTACATGTTGGAGTCCAACATGGGGAAGACCATGCTGGAGTTTCAGGTACCCCCTACTTTCCCTTCACACCTCGGCTTGGTCATCACTCAGTCCAGAGGCCTGGGAGGAATACAGCGCTCATCACCAACAGCTTCTGTTCCAGGAACCTAGTGTTTAAGACATTCACCTGTCTGGAACACAACACATTGTCCATCTCTCTTTTTTTTCAAGATTTGTTTATTATTTGAAAGGCAGAATTGCAGAGGGGGGAGGCAGGAACAGAGAGAGGGAGAAAGAGATTCTTTTAGCTGCTGGTTCACTCCACAAATGTCCACAGTGGCTGGGGCTGAACCAAGCTGAAGCCAGGAGCCCGGAGCTTCCTCCACATCTCTCACATAGGTCAAGGGACCCAAGCACTCAGGCCATCTTCTGCTGTTTTCTTGGGCACTTTAGCAGGGAGTTAGATCGGAAGCAGAGCAGCCAGGATTCAAACTGGTGCTCAAAGGGGATGCTGGCACTGCAGGCAAAGGTTAAACTCACTATGCCGCAATTCTAGTCCAGTTGTCTGTCCTTAACCACAACCCAGAAGGCCAAAATTGATAAGCAAATGAGGCACAACCTTTGCTTTTATGACACCTTATTTATATATAACAGAGAAGAGAGGGAAAGCACGGTCCAGCTGCCAGGATAGAGCATCCCCTTACACTATAGCAAACAGTGTGACCTGTTGCTGGCTACCTTCAGGTTGCTCATTTGCAAGAGTCACAGGTGAAAATACCTACTATGCCTATTGAACAATTCCTGCTCAGTTCAGGCATTTCTGTTAACCCAGGTCTGCCACCCCCTACTGTCAACCAACTGAAACAATTGAGCAACACATCCTTTTGCAACCGAGGTTGACAAGCCACATTAGAACTGAGAAATCATATTAACTGTTTTTGATGGAACCTGACTTAACAATGGCAGAAACGTACCCATACAGCCATGCTGTTTTCCACTTTGAACTTCATGTTTATTAAATTTCAGGAAATAGTCAACAGGTTATTATTGAACAGACTCTGCATTTGATCATTTTTCCCACTTGCAGTGAATGCAAACATCACACACAGATCTAAGGGCAGCCAGGCTAACCTGTGATGTTCAGTAGAATAAATGTGCTAAACAGTATTTCTTTCTTTCTTTTTTAATATTTACTTACTTTTATTGTAAAGTCAGATATACAGACAGGAGGAAAGAAAGAGAGGAAGATCTTCTGTCTGATGATTCACTCCCCAAGCGGCCGCAACAGCCAGAGCTGAACCAATCTGAAGCCAGGAGCCAGGATCTAGGAGCTCTTCTAGGTCTCCTACATGGGTGCAGGGTCCCAAAGGCTTTGGGCCATCCTCAACTGGAACTGGGCACAGATGTGAGACCCGCATCCAAGCACTCTTAATAGAATGCAAGCATCCCAAGTGGGGGCTCAGCCACAGGGCCAAACCCATGCCCCCCTACAACCTTCTTTACACCCAAATAAACTTTTAACGCTGTGTTTCCATGAGCAAGTTGAAGTCTCATCATGGTGAGGGATGATATTGAAATGCTAGAAGCTATGGGGTGGCTTCCCAGACACTTGTCCCTAAGTTGGATGTTCTAATGTGGACAAGGTAGTCCCCCCACCCAAAATAGCTCAGGGACTTGCGCAGGAGTAAAAGCCTGGCAGTGAAAATGGCTTTCTACTCCCCTCCCTATAACAGTTTAAACTCAGAAAAAAAGTAGATGAGACAAGTGTGGCATTGGGGGAAAAGCATCAACTTTAGGAAGCACAGCTTTCCACCTGCCACGTGGGAGTTTGTCTACTCTGAGATTTTGTTTTCTCATCTCTATGATCAGAACAGTAGTGTCTGGTTTGTAGAAGTCAATAATGTGACATTTACAAAGCAAGGACCATTGTGCCTACCCCAAAGAAGGCAAGTATTTCATTCTGTCCTCCATGCCCATGAAAAGAATCGCGTACCTCTCTCCTTGTAAAATACACATTGCCTTTTCCAGTTGGCAGCAGCCTTTGTGCAATTTGAGGTAGCTATTCTCAGAAAAAAACAAAGGGGTTTCTGAAGGAGACTGGGTTGGTTAGTCTACCCTAGATGGGAAGGCAAGACTGAAGCCAAAAGGAATTCCTGGAATTCCTTCCGAGTGCTGTGCAAGGCACCACTCATCATGCTGGATACTGCTTCGCTCGCCTGGCCCTGGGCTGTGCCTTCCGTAGGGTCTGTGCATTGGCCTGTGAAATCATTTGCACCCTGCTGTGGTGATGCTCCCTATGCCCTCAGGCTCGGCTCCAGACGAAATGAGGGCCGGGAATTCCAGTCCTCCTTGCTCCCGCTCCTCCCCAGCAAGCAGGAATACTGGCTCCCCAAGAAGATCCACCAGGCATGTCCTTCTTCCCTCTGGGATCTGGCATCACTGCTCAAGGCATCAGCCCATGAGTACACCTAGTAGGAACTGAACACAGGCAGTGAGTCCCTCTGGGGGAGAAGAGATGTGGCTTTGCCTCTTGCAGGACGCCGCCATGGCATATGCAAGCAGCACGGCTGGTGTGTCCTCCCGACTGCCCTAGGGAGGAAACGTGATCCGCCTCTGCTTACCTTCACTTCGTGGGAGGGATGCTGGGTGCCTGTGGTCTGGGGGGAGGGATGCAAGCAGCACTCGTCCCTGGGTCTTGTCAAGGTCAGGTTCTAGGCCAACTTTGACTGAAGCTGGTTAATATATTTATTCTGAAGCCTAATGCAATCCAAGGCAGGGTTGTTTATTTACATCTTTGCTAAATTCTCCAGGTCGCCTTTTAAAACCTCATCCCATAAACAAATTTCCTCTTAAATCCATTCTCTTGGGTGGGGAGATGGTGCCCACCTGTTTTTCAAGTTCTCCATTTACAGTGTTTGTTTTTCTTATTTCTGATGAATCGCAGAACCAAGCCAGTCTCCCAGACGCAGTCCCGCAGCGAGGCAGGGCGCGTTTTCTTCCCACAGAGTAGCTGGAAAGTCAAACATTGCTTCCCACAGGAGGTAACCCCCCCCCCCCCAAGCAGGCCAGTGGGACAGAGCTCAGTTGTCCCTTTAAATGGAATGAATGACAAAACGGACCAGCAAAGCTATAAGCCAGGAGCCATAACTGCAGCCTTCATTGAAAAGGAAAGAAAACATGCAGCTCAATTCCCCAATCCATTGTTTTTAAAGATATATGTATTTATTTATATGAAAGGCAGAGTGACAGAGAGGGGCTGGGAGGAAGAACTAGCTGGCCGAGTGGCCACAACAGCCTGGACTTAGCTGAGCCAGGCCAGAGCAAGGAATGCAGGACACGCTCCAGCTCCGCCATGGACTGTGGTGGGGAGGTGAGCACGTGGACCATCGCCTGCCTCCCAGGGTGTGCATACGCAGGAAGCAAGAAACCGGATCGGAGCCAGAACTCAGCCTGAACTTTCTTTTACTAGAGGAGGGTGTCATAACTAACATTTTTTTTTAAAAAAAAGTTTTATTTATTTTTAATGGAAAGACAAATTTACAGAGAAAGATCTTCCATTTGCTCGTTCACACCCCAAATGGCCACAATGGTCACAGCTGAGCTGAGCTGATTCAAAGCCAGGATCCTCTTCTCCCATGCAAGATTTTGGGCCAGCCTCTGCTGCTATTCCAGGTCAAAAACAAGGAACTTGATAGGAAGTAGATAGGACATGAACCAGCACCCATATGGGATGCCAACACTTGCAGGCAGAATATTAGTGAGTTCAGCCATTGCACCAACCTTTTCACTGGCATCTTAGACCAAAGACCTGCCCCCAGTATATCTTTCTTGATTGTCAACATTCTATAAAGTATTGGTGAGTGGGGGTAGTGAAGCAGAGGAATAGAATGATATTTGTTTTCTCTGTTTCTTTTTTTTTTGTGTGTGTATGTGTTTAAATTTATTTATCATTAAGATTTATTATCTGGGCCCGGCGCGATAGCATAGTGATTAAAGCCCTTGCCTTGCACACGCTGGGATCCTATCTGTTCTCCGGTTCTAATCCCAGCACCCCCACTTCCCATCCAGCTCCCTGCTTGTGCCCTGGGAGAGCAGTTAAGGATGACCCAAAGCCTTGGGGCCCTACACCCATGTGGGAGACTGGCTGCTGGCTTCAGATTGGCTCAGCTCCAGTTGTTGTGGCCATTTGGGGAGTGAACCAGCAAATGGAAGCGGTTGCTCTCTGCGTATCTGTATATAAATCTTTAAAAAAAAAAGTTGTGATCGCAGCGTCTTTTCAACTTCCCTGAAGTATCCAGGCATCAGAGGGACACCTTGCCCAGCTCTCGCTGATATCCGTGTCTGTTACAAAGCCTCTGAGAGGCCACGCTTGGGTTTTGCAGGAGCTGATGACCATCTTCCAGCTGTTGCACTGGAACGGAAGCCTGAAGGCCCTACGCGAGACCAAATGCTCCCGACAGGTGAGGTTCCCCTCTCCCCGACCCCCGGAGGGCCTGCCATCTTCCTCTGGGCTTTCTTCATCAGCATCCCTTTCAGTGTGGCACCCATTCATTCCCAGCAGCGTGCACTCTCGCTAACAGTCCAGTTGAGCCAGGAACTGGCAGATACATCCACTAAGAAGAAGCTGGCTGGGCACACGACCAAGGGGGCAAGCTACTCCTGAGGCAGGTGGTGTGGGGAGCAGAGGGGCAGACCCAGGGTCCACTCCATCTGCCTGACACCCTCATGGAGACTGATGGAGTTCTTGGTCACCAGCTTCAGTGTAAGCAAGATGTGGCTGTTGCAGCCATCTGGAGAGGGACCCAGCAAATTGAAGATTCTCTCTCTCTCACTCACTTTAAATTAATCTTTAAAAACCAAAGTTCTCCCTCTTTTTTGTGCACCTACCCTGCCTATATAACCGTTGTGCCAAATTACAGACTCGAGAACACACTCTTTCAGGAACCTTCTCACTGGAGGAAGGTAAGGTGGGTTGTGTTGGGATGATAGTTCCCACTGCTGCTGAAATGACCACAGAGAGGAACAAGTCTTCCAGCATTCCATTTGTGTTGTTGTTGCTGCTGCTTAGACTAATTTAGGGTGGAGGTTCTTCTTTATTTTGGGTGCCAGGGTCTCACTATTTCCTCATTTATCCTGAAAAGCACCTTCACACCTCTCAATAGCAAGTGATGTGCAATTGGTGGTTTTCATCGCTGATGTTCTACAACCCATCCCTCCTATCCCCACCATTAGACGGAGGAAGAAGTGGATTCTCTGAGGATTTGCTAACAGTACTTTGGTTAAGGAAGAAAGCCTCTATCGGTTAGTAACACGAGGGTGGCTCATGTGCAACAGCTCACGGAGTCTGTGCCTGTGCTTTGCTTAGAAAGTCTGGCTTTCGAAATGTCAGAGACAGAAAAGAAATGAGTAGTTGACATTGGCATTGCCTGCTTTTTTTCCTTTTCCTTTGATTTTACAAAAGCCCTTTGAAATATGCCCAGTTGGTTATAAACACTTTTCCATGGTTGCTTTTAATTTGTTAAGGTCATAAATAAATGCCATATGTTCTTGAAAATAAAAATAAGCAGTGCATCCATGCCAGCTGATCCAATGGGCACACATAGATAGGATTGTTTTACTGTATGGGCAATGTTCTCATGCAAGAACTGATGGGTAGAGTTTAAACTTTGATTTTTTTCCCAGATGAAGATATAGTGTGAAGTCATAATTAAGATACTACTATTAATAATGTCTGCATTCCATAGTCCATGTGTAGAGTTCTTTCTGTAGTTGCCATGAGCCCAGGGGACCGTCATCTTCCTCAAGCATCCCCCACGGGGTTGCAGTTGGTTCATTGGCTTGCCTGGTTGGAAGCCTCATCCCCAACCTCTGACCAAAGGCTTCCTGCTTTCTGCTGTGGCTGAGCCCAAACTCCATTCTCCCCAAATCCCTCTGCATCATTGTCCTCCACCCGCTCTGTGTTGCCAAGGGCAAGGATGTGGGTGGAAGGACTCCAGGAGTCAATGAGATGCTTTTCCAAACAGCTGTTCTCGGAACACATTTTCAAGGAAATGCTGCTATTTCCTTACAGAGCTTTGTGTTGGATGCGGTACAGAGTCACTGCTGGTGGCACGTTGGGATTCAGCTTTATTTGACCAGCCTAGCGCTTCATTACCTTTGATGAACTGTATCATAGGGCTTATCTGTCTCCTCTCTGTTATTTAAGATTTGTTTGTGTATTTATTTACTTAAAAGCTAGAATGACAGAAAGAGAGAGATATTCCATCTGCTTATTTACTCTCCAAATGGTTGCAATAGCCAGGGCTGGACCAGGTTGAAGCCAGGAATTCCATGTGAGTCTCTCACATGGGTGGCAGGGACTCAGGTGTTTGAGTCATCATGTGCTGCCATTCAGGCATATTAGCAGGGAGCAGAAACAGAATCCCGGTAAGCTGGACTTGGTCCAGACATTCTGATATGGGATGTGGGCATCTCAAGCAGCAGCTTAACCTACTGCACCACAACACCTATGCTTGTCGTAAGATTTCGTTTCAGAACACCAGAGAGAGTTGACTGTTGGAACGCTCCCCCTTAATGGGCAGGGACAAGGTGGAAGGCCACACACCCCTTACTGACACTGTGGACTCTTTCCTGGCTCTTAGGAAGTCATCTCCTACTATTCCCAGTACTCCCTGGATGAAAAAATGCGCAGCCACATGGCCCTGGACTGGATCATGAAGGAGCGGGAGTCACCAGGAATCCTTTCTCAGGAGCTACGAATAGCCCTGAGGCAGCTGGAGGAAGCCAGAAAAGCTGGACAAGAACTACGCTTTTACAAAGAGAAGAAGGAAATCCTGAGCTTAGCCCTGACTCAGATCTACAGCGACCCTGAGGCATCCTCACCCAGTGATGACCAGCTGAGCCTCACGGCCTTGTGTGGCTACCACTAACAAGGCTGGGTCCCCGGTGCTCCAGGGATGCCAGGCTCTGACATCAGGTGGCCCACTGGAGGGGCACAGAGGCCTCAGCACGGTTAGCAACTGCCTGCAGAAGTCTGCATCCTCCCCACCCCTTCTTCCCACGGAATGAGAGAGTAGTAGAACTCCTCCCAGGCCCAGCATCCCTCGCAATGCATGTTTCTCCCATTGCACTCTCAATAGCTCCACCACTCAGGTTGGAACGATGGAGACAGGATTGTGTGAAAAATACACTGCAAGCCTGGCTTCCATCAGAAGTCTCGTGACATGTGCCTTGCTAGATTATAAATGGCATTTCAAAGAGCGAGCTGGTATAGCAACCCCTCCAAAAACAGCAGCCAGGACTAGGGAAATAGTGTGATAGGCTCTTTTTAAATTACTTGGGATCAAATAAACAGTATGAATTTTTTTCTTAAATACATGAGAGTCAGAAGCTGTTCTTAGGATTTGTAAATTAAGAGGTAGCTCACACTCTACTAAATATAACCCAAAACTAGGGTGGGGATTTTACCTGGACATCCAACTACCAAAGCTCTTAGAGCAGTAATAATATGAAAATTCTAGATGCTGTTGTAATAACAATTTTTAAGACCTACATTCTTCTGTGTATAGGAATAAGTGTCACCTAAAATTAATGTCCAGTTTTTATGAATCTTTTAATCATGTTCATCTTTAATTTGCAAATTTAAAGGTCAAAATAGCCTTTAAAAATCACCAGAGAATAACAAAGACGCTTGCATTTGACTCATTCCACAGACATTAGAAAGAAGGAATCTAGCTGATTTTGTTGTTCAAGCTTGTAAGCATCTAGGAACTGTAACATTAAGAGCTCTAAGGCACTGGAATCTTCTAAAAGGAAGGCTAAGACTGTCACCTCTGTGGCTCAGTCCATCTATGGATAAGAACAGATATGAGAATGGCAGCAGTGTCAACTTGAAGTGTTCAGGGGTGTTTCCATAGCAACAGCACGAGAGGGGTTATTTGACTTTCGTCTGGGAACCCAAACTAAATAAAATTTGTCTCAATTTCCAATGGTTTCTTTTTCTTCTTGTTAATGCAAATGTAGACTAACTTTCCTCAGAGCTGAACATCAGGATTATGTATTCCTACAAAAATATCCTGAGTCACACACGTGCACTGAATTTGAAAGCAGCTCTCTCAGTTCTCACAGAATCCGAATATGCCAGATTATTTGAAAGAAAAAATAAAAGCTTAGAGAAAAATAATCCCTGCATTTGAGTGAGTCTATCAGAATATTCCAGATTTAAAAGAGCTGTCATTCCCATCACGCATAGCACTCAGTTTTCCGGTTGTTCAAAAAGACAGAGCTCACTCATATTTTTGCTGTTAGATTCATCCACCTGTTTCTAGAAAATAAAAAAAAAAATCAAGACATTAAATATTCTTGAAATGCATTCTCTTTAGTAACTACTAAATCTCAAGAAATATTACGAGGGAGGGAGATGCATAAACATGTAACACTTTTCTTCAGGGAAGACTTGTGACGCGAGATGTATTGTGGTGGTGTTTACCGTGCTGTGCTAACATGCCAGTGCCCTTCTAGCCATAGCAAAGGATGTCAGACAAGAAGTATTTTCATCATTGATGACTGTGGCCACAGGTAAATACGAGTCAAGATATTATTTCTTCTTGTCAATTCTGTTTGCTTTTTTAGCGTTGCATGTAGGAATGTAGACAGTAAGAGTCATTTCATGATATCCAACCTCCAAAGAATTAATATTACATTCTTTTATCCAAGGGTACAGGAAAATGAAATCCTCTCTATGAGTCTCAATTTTGACCATACCTTACAAACATTCAAAGAGTTTTTAAAAAATCTTAAATGGACCATACTATGAAACCATGGGGCATCCAAATGCTGATCTGTGGGGCCTAACAGGACTAGGTTCTGCATGGGCACAGAAAGGCAGAACAAAGACAGCTGTGAATTTGGGCACAGAGTTGAAACACCTGCCCGGCTCCAGCGGTTCTCCAGGCATTCCCCTTCTCTTGGTCCCCTGTTGGTCAGTTGGCTTGCAGTCCCCTCACTGCCATTCCTTCTTCTTTCTTCAGCTCCCTGATTTGTCAAAGAAGAGACGCCTCTTTCCTGCCTTTCCTATAATCCTTTTGAACATTTCAATGAATTAGACAAAGGATCATGGTGACATAAAACTGGAAGCCACTAAGTCGCTAGACATTTGAAGAAACCATGCTCAGAAGAGGTAGAGAGCATACATTCTCCCTTTTCTCGCTTGCTAAGATAAGAAGTGTGAAAATTAAAAAAAAAAAAAAAAGATCCATGATCTCTAATATGTGTTGTCTTCCTGAAGTAAGACACTTTGGGGAATTAAGAATGTGTTCTTATCATGCTCAAGTATACCATCTTTACCGAGACCATTACCATCTCTAAAACCCCCGTCTCCGCCCCCCCCACCCTGCCCCCAGAAAGGCTGCAGGGGCTCCATGAGCAAAGAAAGAGCAAGAGGCTGCAGGGGCTTCAGTACAGGTTTCTTCTTCTTTGCACCAAAATAAACCTACCTTTTCATTTTTCAACATTATTTTGAAGTACCTTCACTTAAACCCAAATAAACTTTCTGACAAAAGGGAATCGCCAACTAATGATACAAGGGAGTCCCAGAGTCTTTCTAGCTCCTGTTCATTGAGACTACCCAGAGCACCAATCACGACTGTGTATTCCTGTTAGACAGATGATGTGTGTCACGTGTCTGCCCCTGCAACTGATGGTCAAGTCAGCTTGCTCAAGCAAACTGAAGGCTACACAGAAAAGGTCTCCATTACCAGGGGGCAAACGAGGCCAATTCCCCCAAACATCCTCAATGAGAGCCTCCCAGAGACAGAATGAACGAGAGAATCAAAGCAGTTTCTCTAACCAGAAGTGTGGGGAAAGGATTTCCGGGTAGATAAATAACAGATGTATTCTGTGAATACATTGTGTCATTTCCAAAAGTCACATCTATTCTTGGGGGACAAGCTGTCACCAGGAAGGATGTTCAGAAGAATAATCTCCTAGAGGGGAAATCCCAAAATGGTTCTGGACCGGTCACCCCTGGAATAAGCAGACGTTTCCATGGAGGTGCTCCTCGGGTGTAAGAGCTCTGTTGTGGGGCCAGTGCAGTGGTTCCACAGGATAATCCTTCACCCATAGGGGTGCCGGGTTATGTCTCAGCTGCTCCACTTTCAATCCAGCTCTCTAATTATGGCCAAGTAAAGCAGCAGATGATGGCTCAAAGCTTTGGGATCCTGTTTCCTCCCACATAAGAGACCCGGAAGAGGTCTTGATTCTGGCTTTGGTTCAGCTCATCTCCAGCCAGTTGAGGAGTGAACCAGTAGATGGAAGATCTTTTTTCTTTGTCTCTCCTTTCTATAAATCTGCCTTTCCAGTAAAAATAAATACATTTTTAAAAAAAAAATAAAGAGTTCTGTGGGTGGAGGAACCGAATCATCCACATGACTCTGACCATATTCATATTTCACACAACTTCAGAGCTGATGGACTGGTGCTCGGCAAGCGGGCTGGGAAATGTCCTCCAGTCTGTATCTGCTGGACTCTGACTTCTATTATCAGTGGCTGCCAATGCAAGTGAAAAGTTACAAATCAATGGTCTGGACAGGAGTTCCTGCTTGGCATAGAGCAACTTACAAACTCTTCCCTGTGGCTCGACTCTAACACTGGAGTTATGGTTCAAGCAGTCATAACATGACCTTGGAAACAGTCCATGGTGTGTCTCCCAGCCATTCCCAGTCTTCCCAGAAGTGTTCAGTGATGTCTGCAAGTCCATAGCAAGGTCTTAGTGTAGGCAGGTGGCCAAGTGAAATGCCACAGTGCCAGGGGAGATACAAAATCCCCTTGCCCTCACAATTAACCCAGGCGATATGCCCTCAAATGAGCTGGCATCTTATTATGCTTTAGTTTATTTCTTGTAGTTACTTGGATTTTTAAATGGGGCATTACACAAAATTATCAAAATGAATTTTTTTTTTCAAATGAGAGATTTGAACTGATTCACTTGTGGGCACAGGATTAGCCAATTGGGCCATCGTGCAGGCTGCAAGAGCATTCTAAGAGCAATAGGTTTGGATTCCTTCTTCTTGGGAGGAGGGGAGTCTCTGGAATTTGCACACAAGGTGCAGGCTAGAACCTGGGCTTCTTGACAAAGAAAACAAAGATTGGTTTATTCTGCTATGAAAAAAGTCAGCTTTAATGGTCAGTTAGAAAAGGAAGAAATTTTTAGCTTCATCCTTACTTTTAACAAATGACAGCAAGATTTCCTTCCATCAGGTTGGCAAACAGTAAAGGATTATAATGTCCAATATTGGCGAGCTTGTGAGGAGACGGAACGTCTCACACTCCACTGGTGCGGGTGTCATTGACACACTGGGCGGTCAGTGTTGTGGCCTGATGAGTGACATGAGAGCCCCGTCCGAGTACCAGTAGAACTTAGCCGCTCTGCTTCTCACTCAGGTCCCTACTAATGTGCCCTGGGAAGATGATCCAAATACCTGGGTTCCCGACTCCCCTGGGAGACCTGGATGCAGTTCCCAGCTCCCAACATCAGCATCACCCAGCTCTGGCCACCATGACTGAGGAGTCGACGGAAGATCTCTCTCTCTCTCTCTCTCTCTCTTAAACTCTGCTTTGAAGATAAATACATAAATACTTTTTTTTTAAAGAGTCTTTTTTTTTGAGTTGGCTATTAAAATTTGATATAGTTTATCATTGGATATCAAAATACTCATTTCTATGAATCTGTCCTCTAGAAACAATTCTAAAGTGTTTGATACATGCAAAGGACATCCTTTATTTTTCAGAATAACAAGCATTGGAGTGTTTCTCAATGGGACACTTGTGAACTGGTTCATGAGTCATCTCTCTCGGTGATGTCCAGTGTGGCTGTTGAACACTTGACACATGGCTGGCTCATTGAGTACACAGGGAATGTTGAAGGCATATGGAAAGAACAGTAAAACGTCTCACTAACAACTTTTATATTAGTTCCATTTACAGAGCTCACTGTATTATTAAAATTCATGTCACTTTTTTAATGAGGCTACTGGAACATATCAGGTTACCTCTGTGACTCTCATTTGAACTCTGCATTAAATTTCGCAGCAGCAGTATTGATCTGCATCGCTCAAAGAAATAAGGAAGATCTCCATGCACAGATACAAAAT